AAAAAAAAAATGACGTGCATCAAGGTCCTATTATGTTTAATGTATGTACCAAATTTGAATGAAATCCGTCCATGCATAACTGAGATCCGGGTCCGGAATGGTGAAAATGTGCGATTTCAATGCATTTTCGGCCTTAAAGCGGCCGCCATTTGGCTATCGTTAATGAGATCATGAAACAAATGCACATACATATTTGTGACATGATGTACCTTGTGTGTGTGAAGTTTGAACTCGATCAATCCAAGCATGTCTCAGATACGGATCCAGAACTGAATTCTTTAAAACAAAATGGCCGCCAGTCGGCCATTTCGAACCCGATCCAAAAAAAAAAAAGACGTGCATCAAGGTCCTATTATGTTTAATGTATGTACCAAATTTGAACGAAATCCGTCCATGCATAACTGAGATCCGGGTCCGGAATGGTGAAAATGTGCGATTTTGATGCATTTTCGGCCTTAAAATGGCCGCTATTCGGCTATCGTTAATCGGATCATGAAAAAAATGCATGTGCATATGTCCCATATAATGTGTGATGTATGAGTGAAGTTTGAACTTAATCGGTCCATGCATGTTCGAGATACAGGTGATCACGGACGCACGGACGGACGGACGGACGCACACAGGGCAAAACATAAGTCCCCGTTTTCGGACTGCATCCGAACGGGGACTAACAAAGCTTTGAGTTACAGGTAACATATATTTTTATTAAACGTCCACATTTAGGAACTCGATCTTTAAATAACAGTTAACCAAATTTCAAGTTACGGGCAACATAGATTTTTTGTTTTGTTTAATGTTCAAATTTAAGTAACTCAAATTGTTATTATCGGTTAACCAAACTTCAAATTACGGAAAATGAACAACGATAAACAAAAAAAAAATTTGAACAATTCAGCATTTTAAGTCAGAAACCCCTTAACTTACCTGGTATATACATTACCATAATGAATATAACAAAATAGGAATAATTAAATGATATATTATAATCATTGGGTAATGTGATGGTGTAGATATCTGATTCCTTGATGTAAGGCAGAGATGCATAGAATGTGGACATCTCACCCTGTAACAATTGATAAACAAGACATGTGATGTTAGATAAATGAAATGAAACAGTCCAGATTTTCTCAAACATTTCAGCCATTAGCATGACACATTTGCATTGTCATATTGTATAACGAGGAGAATTAATTAAACTAGTAACATGGGAAATAACAAGTAAGAAAATATAGCTGCATAGCAGCGATGACGGGTTTCGAGCCTGCGTGGCTCATGGCAAATTGCACTTGCTCGATGTGATTATTTGACGAATGTTTCATGTCTAGAATGCAAGATGGCAGACAAACTACACAATATATGGAATATGATAAACGTAAAGAAAGAATTCCACATATTGAATTTTGTATCAGTCTGGCAAATAGTTCATGAGTTATAGAACTTTTTCACTTTTACTAAATACAAGATGGCTGCCAAAGGAAGCCATTTTTAAAAATCTACTTCAGTAACTTTGTAGAGCTATTAACTGAAATACTATATGCTTAAATTGATTGACAAACAAGCAAACAGTTTTTTAGAAGATAATTTTTTGTGGTTTTTTTGATAAATTCAAGATGGCCCCGAAACCACTTGAACCATGGGAAATATTTTCATGAACACATAACCATCTTATTCAAGGGATGCTATATGCCAACTTTGGTTTCAATCTGGCAAATTGTTCACGAGTTATAGCATAATT